GCTGGTTTCCCTTTCCATTTCAGTCCACTACTTGGCTTGAAACCAATGTCACCAGTTACATCAACTGACCTTGTTATCATTGTTGGTCCCGTGGGCTCTATTCTAGTACTTGGTGTGGCTACTATTCTACTACTTGGCATGCCACGGTACAGAGAAAGAATAAAGTAAATAAGTTATCACAACTATACAAAATAAATTAAATACCACAAGGAATATAAACTTACATTCAAAGTTTTTAAGCCATTTTCTGCTTGAAACACACCCATTCCTATCACTCTTGGCCTTTTAAATTGTTTTGTACTTTCCACACCCTTTCCCCTTCCTCTATTTAGTGTAGCAGTAGAGGCATTAGGTGCATCAGATGCATTAGGTTGTGAGTGAATTACATTAGATGATGTATTAGGTGCAGAACATTCAAACCAAGCTGCTAGTGAATGATAAGCACCAGATACATTAGGTTGTGAGTGAGTTGCATTCCAAGATCCTCCTCTTCCCCTACCTCTACTAGCTGCAGCAGATGTTGCATTAGGTGGAGCAGATGTTGCATTAAATCCTTCTCTTCCCCTGCCTCTTCCCCTTCCTGTACTAACTATTGTATTAGGTGCATCAGATGTTACATTAGATCCTTTAGCAGCAAGAGCGGCATTAGGTGCAGTAGATGTTGATTTTCTAGGCCTTCCTCTCCCTCTTTTTGCAGCAGGTTCATCTTCTACATTTCTTGGTTTCTAACAAATAATAAACAGTAAGATATAGTGGTTGAATTTACAAGAAACAGTACACTTAGTTATACCTTTGGTCTGCCTCTTGGTCTTCCTGAACCTGATGCTTCTGCAGCAGTAGTTCCTGAACCTGATGGTGCAGCAGCAGTAGCACTCTTATGACACCCCCTCTTGTTGTGACCAACACCCTTGCAGATGCTACACCTCATGACAAGTCCAATTTTAAGCAACTTTCCATATTTTTTGGTTTCAGTTGCCTCTTTTCTCCTAACCTTCTTGGGCCTGCCAGACATACTTTTCACCACTGGTGGTGCAACAGGAGGGTTAGTAGATGCAAGCCATATTTCCATATTGTTGAGTGGTTGAAGGAAGTGAGAATATGTCATCAAGTATGTCTCCTTCATGTAGCAGTTATCAACATAGTCAGCTGGTTCATACCCTTTATAGTACATTGCAGCTATGGCATGTGGACATGGTATCCCTTTCAACATCCAAGCCCTACAACTACAAGTGTTATTTCTTAGGCAAACAGTATGTTGATTTGTTCCCTCCTTAACTTGGTATCCTGTATCTCCATTAAAAAAAATTGTACATCTCATTGACTTTTCAATATTTTCCTCTAAGACCTTTAATGCCATTGGAGAAATGTTGCATGACCAAGTATTTGCAATTCCCTTAACTTAGCTATTCTAGTCATCATCTTGACTCTTATTTATTCAAGCATGGTTATAATGGTCTTGTGCCTAGCAGCTAGGATCCATACATTAAAACTTTCAGCCATGTTATTATCTACAACATCACACTTGACTTCCACATTAAAATAAACCTTACACCAAGTCTCTTTGTTATAGTATAAAAGATCATCAACTATGCTCTTACCAAGCATACTGAGTGCTTTAAGGTTTTTCTTGAGTTCAGCCTCATATGTACTTCTAGCACACTTCCAGAACAGCATCCTCCTCTGAATCCCTCTCCAGTTCTTTGACCAATTAACAAGGATGTGTCTGGCCCACATCCTGTGCTCACATGCTGAAATAATGTCTTGAATCGCTGCTAGAAGTCCCTACAAAAGAGGAAATTAGTGAGTAACAAACAGGAAAACATAAAAAAGAATATCAAACAGGCTGTAATGATATACCTTTTGCATGTCTGTAATCAAGGTGAAACCCCTGCCATCTCTTAATCCTAAATCATCTTTAAGCAAGGATACAAACCATGTCCAGGTATTTTTGTTCTTATATTCCACTACTGCCCAAGCAAGTGGAAGCATTTGGTTGTTGGCATCCTTAGCTACAGCAACTAATAACTGCCCTCTACTAACTCCCTTCAGAAAACAACCATCTAAACCTATGCATTTCCTGCACCCCATGAATGCATTCTTTAATGCACCAAAACAGACATAGAAACTTTGAAATACTGCCTTACCAGATTCATTAGCTTCACCAAGTTTTACCACACAAGTACTCTCAGGATTGGTTCTTAACAATTCATCCCTATAGTCAAGAATTCTTCCAAACTCAAGTATATGGTTCCCCATAATTTCTGTCAATACTTTGGCTCTTGCTCTCCTAGCTGTGGTCTTGCCAACATGCACTTTAAATTTCTTCCTTATTAACTCTTGTAACTTGAACACTCTTATGTTTGGTTGTTCAGCTATTTTATCTTTCAACACTTTAGCCAGGTATTTAGAATTGCACATGTAATTTCTGGTGGCCCTATTACACTTATGAACTGGATTATAAGTCCTAAGCACAAAATTATTACTTGAAGTGTCAAGGCTTGCATACAACGGCCATGTACAACTATCCCTGCACCTCACCCTGACTCTTGTGGGCTCATTCACATATTTTTCCACCTGAACCCTCCTTTGAACAACATACTTGGTTATTGCATCTCTAAATTCTTGAACATCTCCAAAAATCATTCCCAGCTGCCACACAACCTTTTTAGCTGTAGGATCATAAACCACCTTCTTGGTAGAAGATCTTCTTCTTGGTAGATTTTTACTAACTTCTTCCCCATCTTCAACCCAACTTTTATCTTCATCTGTTTCAAAGCTACAAGCATCAGAACTTGGGTAATATGGTTCATCACCTCCTATCCTACCTTCTAAACTTTTTTTACCTGTTTCAGTTTCATCAAACCCCAAATCTGGCCCAGCTACACCACATGGAACATTTTCAGGATCAGTAGGAGCTCTTTCCTTTCTTTTTCTTCTCTGGAAAGACTTTCTCTCAGCCCTAAACTCTAAGAACTCTTCATGTATATCACTACCATAATCCTCTATGTCATCACCAAAAAAATTATTGTCTTCATCACTTGAACTATCTTCACTTGACTTATCAGATTCCTCCTCAGTTGAGGATGAATCTGGATCTGGATTTGGTGGAGAAGCTGCTGGATCAACTGATGAATCAGTAGGTGTAGGTGAAGTAGCTGCTGCACCATTTAAAGCCTCCTCACCAACCTCAATGTTTTGACTAGCACTTGCTTCAATGGTCCCATCCCCTTTATTAAAAGCTGAACCAGATTCCTCTATACCCATGTGCTGGACATATACTTTCAAAATGGTTTCATTTTGCAAAAACTGTACAATTCTTGAAACCTCCCTATCATTGTTTATATTTTCTATAATGCCACAGTTAGGTGGCCTAACACTAAATGTACAACTGCTGCTATACCCCAATTCTTTAATATAGTCCACCAACTCAAAATAAGATAAAATATCCACATCAACATTCACATATTCTGTCATTACCCTACCCACATATCTTGGTTCCCCACATACAACCTCTAAGACCCCACCATGAAACAATCTCAAAGTAACAAATATAAACACACCCATACCTGAATACAAGTAAAAGGGAACAAATAATCAAATCCCCAATCAAAGTAATTATTCTACCGAAAATAGGGCAACACTAAAAAACTTACCACCAAGAACACATCAGTGAAAAAACACGAAAAATCAAAGTATAAGTATCATAATCAACATGCAAACCCCTCAGTTTCAAAATCAAAATCTCACAATTTTGTACAGTGATCGATTTTTTTACAAAGCTATAAACTACCAAAGATCAATTGAAGACAATAAAAAACTAACCTTTAGACTTGGTTTATGACGAATAAATAGATAATACTTCTGCGCTGACCTTGATTGTAACACCACAATATCAAATTAAACCCTAGATTGTAACTCCCTGCTGAAATTGAACAAACGAACCCTAAAAACAGAGATTACATACTTCTTTACATTATGTTAGAGCCGATTTTGCAATAGATTAAAGAGAAAATTATGATTGGGGTGATTTTATGGAAGGAATCGAAGAGGGGATTGTGAGTTTGGACCGTAGAAAATGGGAGTAGGAAAGGAAATAATGAAATAGGGTCGGTTTAATTACTGAAATAAAAGGGATTTGATAAATTAAAAGGGAATTGGGTGGGGCCCATTAGCGCGTGTATACACGAATAGTCTTATAGATGGGGTCGAGTTTAATTGATCAAATAATGACAAATAAATTACGGTAAAAAGAAGTTCAGGGGGTAATAGGACCCCTGAAAAGGAAAGGTGTGTAGTTGGTAAATGAGTCATAGGATGGGGTGGATTTTATGCATTATCCCATACAAAAGCATTTATAGAGGAATGTTTTTTCTATACTAAATTTCTCTATAGAGAAAATTGGAATGTTCATCGTCCCCAAGTCATATTTACTACATTTTCCTTTTTGCACTTACGGAATGTTCTTAAAACTTACCAACTCAAGGAATTATGTGCATAAAATTACATATTTTATTGAAAGATTCAAAATTAACAATATTTTTTGTTTTGATGTATGAAGTAATTGACAAATGTGACTTAATTAAAAACATATTGAGAAATGTATAAGTTTTAGTCGCCCACGAAAATAATAACCGATAAAATGCATATTTTCATATATATGTTTATTATATATAAAAAATATACATATATTATACACTTTTTGGTTACCAAATATAATATATTATATATTTTTAGTTAGCGAATGCAATTAATTTTGATCAATCAACCAATATATTCGTATTCAAGCGAAATTCAAAATAATGTGTTTGGAGCAAGTATTTTGAAAAAGAAAAAAAATCCTAATGATGATGAAAAAAAGAAAAGAAAAACGGAAACAACTACTTTTGGCGGTTCTTCATTTATACCCATGGGATATATAAAGAAAGCGCAGCCCTGAAACCCTCTGTTAAACCCTTCCGCCATTGCTAGTTTCCCTCTTGCACTCTTATAATGTACGGACAGCCACCGCGCAACGGCGGCGGAGGTGGCGGCTGGCGCAGCGGTCCTCCGCCGCAACAGCCACAGCCAGCGGTACCACATGTAGGGTTTCAAAATCATAACTTTATACCTTCTCAACCTCCAAACTATTTCATTCCTTCAAACCCCTTCTTTCCCCAAAACCCAAATTTTCCAATTCATACCCCTAATTTCGCAAACTTTCCAATCCAACAAAATCCTAATTTTCAATTTCAGCAGCCTCTGCAGAGTTCCTCGAGGGGTAACGAGGCTGTTGAGAGAGTTGATCGAGCTGTAATTAAGGCACGAAGAGACCTTATAGAGGCTGGTGAAAATGTATCGGCATGGAAAGTTTCACAAGCTGCTTTGGTTATACTTAAAGCTGATTCTTGGGATTCTTTGGGTCTCAAATTGCAACAAGTTCCCTCTCTTAACCGCCTCATAGTTACCGAAGGGAAGGTACAACAACTTTGTATTTTTACAGATTTTTTGTATTCATTTTTCATAATTTTTGAAGTTGAGAATATGTTTTAGTCATATAAGCACTTTTACTTTAGGTCATGTGCTGCTTTTCTAGGAGTAAATTTATCTGTCAGCAGAAAATATAAAAAGTTTCTAGTGATTAAAACAAGATGCATTGTTTAAATGAGTGAACTTTGTTAGCTCTTTGTATCTAAGTTAGCATATATGTAGTAAGCTAACAGGTGATCTTTTTCTGCTTTTTGAAGCTTCTATGCTTCTGCTTCTTGTAATATTTTGCATCTTCTTGATGACATGAATGAAGCCAATTATTTCATCAAAAAAAAAAAGATGCATTGTTTAAATGAATGTGACTTGCAAACTGCAGAGTTGTGTAAAATATTATTTTTTGTAGAATCATGATAAACCTACCAACATGTCCCAATATGGAATGTATAAATTTGAAGGACCTTTTTTTAAAAATAAAGTATATTTGGTTAACCGATCGAATTTTTTTTGTTGCTCATGGTCTCTTTTTTGTAATTTGACTGAAGATGTTTTAGACTACTATGAACTTTAATCAGTATCCCATGGATTATTTGGAACTTTGCTTATGAAAGTTGAATTTTCTAACCCCGTTGAGCTGTTTGTATGTGTTTTTCTGGAGATTTAATGATTAAAGATGCCTTATGTGGAGCATGAAATGTTCACACATGATAAAGGTTTCAGTTTTGTGTACTTACAAGGGTAAGCATCTGATTTCTATAGTTTTTTTGGTCATGAGAAAATTATGCAAAAAATGAGTATATGATGTGCTTATTTAGAATTTTACTTATCAAAAAGAAAAGTATACGATGTGCTTATTGGTTTTGAAACCGGCAAACGGTGGTTATGGAGATTGTTCAAATGCATTGTTGTTGCTCAACTTGGTCATTTACATTGGTGGCGCTTAACTTTTAGTACTCTCTCTCTCTCTCTCTCTCTCTCTCTCTCTCTCTCTCTCTTACTTTCTGTACTTCATTTTGCTTTGTTCCCTTCAATTTATTTTTTTGGTTTTGGAGGCTAACCTCAATTCATCATGTGTTGTTTACACCAAGCTCCATCTCATCTTTTAATAGATACACTTGTTTTGTCCTTTTTACATTTTCTTGTTGTGCCTTTTGATCCATCAAGCAGCACTCTATTTCCAACCCCCTTACTTCAAATAGGGGGTACATTATTTACAAGTTGAAGGGAAGAGGTTATTATATCAATCTTCCCAAAGCAATGTGAAATTAGAGTGAAGCTTTGGTGACCATCAACCTTAAATTCCATTTTGTATCTTCTTGGATAATTTTTAGTGGATATTTATGGTGGACCATCTATTTGGTTTCTTTTCATGAGAAGATAATCTTATGGAATTCTAAATTTTCATTTCCCCATCTCTTTTCTTAGATTAATGCTTTCATCCACTGCTTTGTCGGTGTTCAAAGAATTACCACATTGTATGATTTGGAGGTAGCAATAAGCAAGAATGAGGGGATTGAGCAGTTTGAAGAGCTGGAATTGGGTCCGCTGTTGAAACACCCACTTATTATCCATTATTTTTCTGTCAACCCTGATATGTCACAAGTTTCCAGAATAACAACTGAGGAGATAACGTCCTTACTATCTGAGTTCATGGATGCTGATAAACATAGAAAAGTAAATGTAGATGAATTTTTGAACTTCATCGCCGTGAAGAAATCTGCTAAAACCAGAGAGAAGCTCGGTGTGCGGATTCAGAGCTTGGGGTATGTGGCATATTTTCACTCGTACAAGATTTTGTTTATGTTCAATTTAATATTGTAGAATAGCCTCATTTTTTTAATAAGGAGAATAGCCTAATGATTGAAACTTATCATTATAAAATTTTAGATAACTAAATGTGAAAATTAGCTTATATTTTGGCACACAAGGGGTGTCTGCCTTCTCATAAAGTTCATTGTGAACAAACTTTAGAGCTATAATTGTGGTGTAGGGTGTGCGACTTGCGTGGTGGGAATGTCATGACTTAAACTAGGGCCGTGACCAGCACTTGATAGAGTAGACCTTACCAAGCAGACCATCTTGACCTGGCTAAAGTAACTCGTACTTGTCAATTAATATCATAACCAATTTTTTTACATGCTTAGCAAAACTACAGTGCGAGTACATTTTGAATTTACCTTAAAGGCGTTCTATTATCTTTTGAAGTAGTCACAAGACATAAAATCAATTTGGCAAAGAGCAGAATCTTCAATATAAAGTAGATGAGTGCATTGAGGAGTTGGCTGATATTCTGGAATGTAAGGTGGAAAACTTTCCTACTTTTACATAGGGCTTCCACTGGGGGGGCAAGAAGAAATGATCATATAATCTGGCAAGGGGTACTGGACTGGTGTGCTAACAAACTAGTTCCTTGGAAGAAGCAATAGCTTTCTTTTGGAGGAAGAGTTGCACCTTTTCTTTTTGTTGAGATAAGATGTTATTAAAAAGCAGTGTCAAGCTGATACTGAGAAATTACAGATATAGTGCTGGCTCGATAACATTAAAATCCTATGCAATCTAGCATGTCCAGTGTATCATGTAAATTCAACACTACATTTCCATCTCTCCAATAGTAGTACAGTTCAACTTAGCACCATTCTTAATATATTACTCAACCAAGACTTTCCATGGAGTACATGGAGAGAATTCTAGAACAATATTTAAATACTCTTAACAAGAATATGGGTAAAAGCTGAAACTGTTGGCCTCCATGAGAAAGATGTGGGGCTCACCCTTGAATGCTATCTATGGTGCTAAAATCAATTGGTGAAAAGAAACAATGAGATGGGGAACAAGCAAACCCAAAAGGAAAAAAAGAAACAATGAGAAAAGAAATGGTGAGTTCATCAACTCAATTACGGTTAATTGTACCTGCTGAGAATATAACTAAGTAATTAAGAGTATGCTCTCTCTAACTATTTAAGCTTTTAGATGAGATGGTTAAATACTTCAAACTTGGCATCAGATCAGGCAAATGTCCTGGATTCGAGTCTTGTTGCCTCTCGTTACCAAAAAAGAAAAAGATATTCCAACGTGCTTGGCCATGAAAATAAATCAGACCCGCACGAGAGGAGGCGTGTTGAGTATAATTAATAAATAAAAGTGTATTCTCTCTAAAAGCTTAAGCTTTTAAATGAGATGGTTATAGTACTTCAACAATATCCATAACTTTTAGGGACATGATTAGGAGGGTGTTTGGATTTGCTTTTAAAAAGTAGCTTATAAGCCAAAAGCCATAAGTTGGTAATACCCAACTTTTGGCTTATTTTTGTACTTTTCATGCATAAAAGTAAGTGCTTTTAAGCACTTTTTATCGTTGCCGAACACCACAAAAACTAGAAAAGTGCTTAAAAGCCAATAAGCTCATAAAATAAACCAATCCAAACACTCTCTAGATTTGTAAAACCTGCATCATTTGAACAATACAAAGCACAATAACCTTCTCAAAAAAGAAAAGAAAACAAAACAAACTCAACACAATAACATAATCTCATGTGTGTACATATATGGTGTGTTTGATGTAATGGAAATTGTTTTCTTGGAAAACAAGTAGTAATCTTACTCATTTTCCGGTGTTTGGTACGCAATTAAGGAAAGTAACTTTTCTAGAGTATTCATAAATAATTTAGATACAATAAATATGAAGCCATAAACTTTCGAACCAACAACCTTCCAAACCCAAAATTTCATAAACTTCCGAACCGCTAAACTTTCGAACCCGTAAACTTTATAATGTCTAAACCCGTAAATTTCCAAACGCATAAACCTCCGAACTACCTTATAAAAAAAAACATAAACCTTCGAACTCATAACTTTGGAACTTGTAAAATTTCCAACATGTAAACCGAAAAATGAAAAAACTGAAGGGGGGGGGGGAGGGTTGGGGGGGGTTAGATGTGAGGGTAAGTGGAGTTTTTGGAAAATGTTTTCCTAACTTTTTCTAGGGAAGTTATTTTCCGCCAATTTCATGAAAATGTGATATGTAGGAAAACATTTTCCAAACTATTTTGTGCAGCCAAACAATGTAAAGTAGGAAAACATTATCCGTCATGCCAAACACTCCCATAATGTCAAAACATTAACCAAGTTCCTCTATTTGTCATGTTTCCCTGTAGTCATTTTTCCTCTGATTCTTTAGCTTTTCGAATTGTAAAGGAGTACACTTTCTTTCCTAACTTAATCAGGTAAGGCTAGGCTCTATTTTCTGAAAAAAGAGGCACATGTTCATTTTGCTGAAACATGTGTAGTACCTTCATAAATGCCCATAAGACCACAATCGAATATCTTAAATCCTAGCTAGGCTAGCATGGAACACCATGAAAATGTGGCATGCGTTATATGTTACTTCTCTTTTATGTTTGATATTCTATTAAAGGTTTTGTCCTCTATTCGTATTTCACATTCATCTGTGGATGCTATGCCAATGTCTTGAGTGTACGTGCTGAGTTCTAATTGGGGCTTTGAGTTTTCCTTCTTTATTCTTAAAATTTTAACCATGAAAAAATATATCTTCCGGTTAGTTAAGGAACTTTCTGTTGTTTAGATGTGATATCCTATTTCTTTAGTGGATTAATTGAGAAATGAAATGACTGGATTGTTCTCACTCAAGTCCTCTATGGCTGTATCCCCCACTTTTGAAGAAGTAGATACTTGTCTTTGTCACCTGTCAGTGTCACATCATTTAGTCTTCAGTGTTGAACATTTGTGGATTGATAAAATCTTGTATATCTTGGTGGGGAAGAATGAGGATCCTTTTTCTTGTATGTGACTAAACCTTCTAATATAGTCTAGCTCATGCTTCTAGTATAGTTTAGCACGTGTTTCTCATGCTTCTACTGCAGATGCTCACTAATTTTGGGACATGTAATAGTTAGCCGTGGCATTCGTGTTCTGTTTTCAGCAGAATCTGATCATTCATATTTCCTCATGTATACTCTTTCCTTATCCTTTTCAGGATGCATATTACATTTATCCAGCAAGCAAGGCAATTCCAAACTACCACCGTGAACAAATATCTTAGTACGGTGAAAAAAGAATCCAGCAAAAATATCAGGAATCGCCCTCTCCTATCTGCAGAGAAGAAGCAGTTAGATGAGCATTTCCGTGCCATGCGTGATCGTGTCAAATCATTTTCCTCAACCGAGGAGGAATTTTGTGGTAAACACACAAGGTTTATATCAAGTTCAGAAAATGAGAGCAGTGATGATGATCAAGATGAAAGTGCTGCACATAGCCAGTGCAAATTCCCAGCTGGAAAGAACAAAAGTTCGGACAGACCAACAACCTGTCCTTACCCATCAGCTTCTGAAGAAATGATGCGGCTGGGTTTGAAAGCTGAAGTTGAGGTTAGCCCACATACTGCTAGTGGCAGTGATAGATACAGTAAGGATACTGGGCAATCCAAGAGTAAAAGAAAACTTGATGATGTTCAGAGTTCCATGGCTTTACCCAAAAAAGCACCCAAAAGAGATGTGGTTCAGGCAGAGCTTCTTACTCGCAAGAATAAAAAGGCATCAAAATTTTCTCAGATGTGGAATCAAGACTCCAATGGTTCAAATGATTTTTCGCATGGTGATGATTCAATTAAGATGTTCATTAACACTTGGAAGGAGGCATGCCGGACAAACAGTGTAGATGAGGTACAGCTAAGCAGTTGCTTCTTATCTAGCACAGAATGAGCTTATCATACATCTCGTTGAAATGATACTGTAGCTGGCCGACTTTCTAAATCAGATTGCTGTTAACATTTCTCCACTTTCCTAAAAAGAACTTATTTAAAATTAAAGACGTGTATCATATTTACTACAAAAGAGGTTTACAGTATCTACTTTTTATACCTAATTCTTTGGAAAGTTAAACTTTATCCAGAGGTAAGTAGCGGCCATCTTCTTTTGCAGTGGATGGTGAAGGCAGATCTAAACTTTGTTTTCAACCTCTTCAACCTCCCTTTTGTCATGCCTTATACAGTGAAGATCTATTAACCAACTAGGGTGTTGGGGGATTGAAAAAACCAGTGAGAAAAATCTAGAAGATTGTGTCAGCTTTTGTGTGTTGGGTCTTATGGAAGGAAAGAGATGCGAGATGTTTTGATGGGAAATCAAAGATTATTCAGAAGATCAATTTCATGTGTTTATGGGTTTTGGGTTTGTGGTGTAAATTACTGGAGGTTAAAGATGAAGACAGCATGCTAGAGTTCATCGACTCATTACAGGAACAAGATGTTGTATAGGAGGAAACCTAATCCTTTTGTTCTTGTGTAGAAGGGTTTCAAGTAATCTTCCTGGTTCAGTCTTAGTGCCAGGTTTATAATTTGTGCTATAATACATTTATGTGTTAAAAAGAAATGAATGCATGTTCTTTTCGTGTTAACTTTTATTTCTTTGTTTGCCTCTTGCAATATTGTCAAATTATTTAGCTAATAGCTACTGCATTTTTTCTTTTTTGGCTCTCTTAAGCACCTATTTTTGGTGTTTGGTCTATGCTTGAGATGCTGACAGTCAACAGTTGTACACACATGCTGATTTTCTGTCAATTTTTTTGTGTTTTAGGTTTTTCAGAGGATGCTTCTGTTCTATAAGGCAAGGAAAAAACCTAAAGTGACAAGATTGTTTTCATCATATCCATTTTGTGGATTGCTTCAAGTTGCTGTAAGTTTACAGAGTATTTTGATAATTAATTATCCATAAGTCACCTGAGTACTTTTTTTTTCCTAATAAAAAAAAATCCTGCTTCATGAGTAAACCTATCTCAATTCAGGACATCTTCAATACTCTTTTACGATAGGCATTCGTTGGTTGCCTTTCTTTTAGCTCTTGAAATCATCAATTAAGTATTAATTTTTACACATCAGCTAGAAGTAAAGTAGGACTTTGCATTCTTCTTTTATATTTATAATGCAAGTGTTTGATTTATCTTCTGCAAGACTTCCTGTGGGCTTGAAATGGGCCCATCTCCATTGAGTTCATTCTACGGCACACTTCGTTTCTTTGAAATACTCTGATGAACTTCTTACCAAGGATATCTTTATTGAAAAAACAGGGAACTACATTTCCTTTGGCAAACTCCTCAAACTGTGTTGCTTTCTTCTGTATAAAAGCGCACACTTTGTTAATTGCTCTCTAAAGCCCAGCATAAGCTTTAAACAACTTGTCCAAGTCATAAATGCACTTCGGTTAATGCCTCATAGGTTCTAGAACCCATTTTTGCTGTTTTCTCTAGTATATTTTTGTCTGGAATGGAAAAAAGGTTTGCTGAATCCTTTATTTTGCTGCGGAGAATGGTTATAAAGCAGTTTTTCAGGGACAGATCTTGCTCTTTCAGTGATGTATTTTTGACCCTTTATCTTTTCCATGTTTTCGTTTCTAATTGTCATTTTACTTATTTTGAACTGAAGGTGTAGGAAGAATCTCTATGTTTCTTTAAGAAATTCACATTACATGCCTTTTTGATCCATCACCTTACATGTCTTATATTGCCTCAACGGTTATATTCTGACGTATATCTTTTGGGTGTAATGCATATTTTTAATAAACAAATAAATGCAGTTACTCTCAAACGACTTAAGCTTTTAGATGATGCGATTCAAAAAAATGATGCGATTCACACAATTCCACAGTGTCAGTGCAAGCAGAGATCTTGCATTTTAGTTTTACCGCCAATAGTCCAACAAAAATGTTTTCACATGCTTGCACCAAGACAATAATTAGGCCTGCTTGTGAGGGGACATGTTGGAGAGCTCTATAGCAGTTTAAACTTTTAGATTGTGTCTATATGATTCAGTGGGTGTATTGCTTGAACCTCCACTCCAACATGCACCATTATTCCAGATAACTTCCCTTCATTTTGTACCTAACGTTCTTGTACTTGTGTGAATTTAATGACTACCTTCTAGACTGAAAATCATTTTCTTAATTTGAGTGTGATGACTTTGCAGGTTACATCTATTAAACGTGGAATGTGGGACACTTTGTATGATAAGCTCGAAATATTTCACCAATATGAAGAGACCAATAGAGGCACTGAAAATTGTGCTGACTCCATCTGCATTGAGGTTGAGTCACCTGAAAGGGATGTTACCAAGCACTCTGAGAAGCTCCTGGTGTGTGAAAGTGGTGAGTTGTACACCATTGAGGTTTTTATTTTGCCTGCAAGGTGTTACAACTTTTTGTCATTTTCTTTTTTGAAAAGGTAAATAATTTTATTAACAATTCCTGAGAACTTGTATATAAGTTGTATACCCAAAAAAAAAAAAAAAAAACGCCTTATCTACTTTGATTCACGAAAATCCCCTTGTAATTGTGTTTTAGG